ACAACATAAGGGTGAGTAAATGATGATTGTAAATGATGATTATTTTTTGGATGGACTGTCACTTTAAGGTTGGGCTCTTTTGACTTGACAGACAGTGACCTAGCAACCACCTACTACTTTTATTATTATTTTTATATTTTTGTATTTATTTATTTTTTGATTGAAGGTGTCATGGCTAATCTGAGTCGTTTAAGAGTTTTAAAATCTCTTCTGAGGAACATCAGGCTTGTTTTCTCAGTTCGAGAAGTATAAGACCTCGTTAGAAGTCTCCATCTGCTATCCATGTATTTTTATTTTTGCCTAGGAGAAACATAGGAGATGTTAAAGTGATCTCAACTGTGATTTTTCTCTCCTACTGCGTCCTTCACACACACACACACACACACACACACACACACACACACACCCTCCCAAACTCGCTCGCTTGCTCAAAAACACAGATCAGATTTGCAAACCATTGCAGAAAAAGCACTTGCTTGCTTTGCCCAGTGGCCCTCAGATTGATGCAAGACGTTCTTTCCAGAAACATCCCTTTCTTTTGCTCTTTTCTGCCCGTCGTCTCCTTGTCTGGCCAAGCTAGCCCTCCAAAGTGAATTAGTGGATCTTTCTTTGGAACTGATAGTTTGTGGAACACTGAACTTCCGTTTTGCTCCTCTGCAATCTATGTACATGTACACGCTGTCAATCACTGCTTCTGTATAAAGAATGAAACCAAAAACGCGGCTTGGCAGCTTTTCCTCAAGAGTTTATCTGGAGTAAAAGTAAAAACACACACACGAGGACGTGCACTCACGCACACTTTGGTGGTGTGTCAGCGGCCCCCAGCAGGACTGAGTGGACTTTATGAAGCACCCAGCAGGCCCTGCAGTGGGGGAGAGAGCTGCTCTCTGAAGCACAAAGAGGGGTTTGTTCTGCTGAAGAGGCTCTCTGCCTCTCTACCTCCTGAGAAGCTTGGCAGTCCAGCAGTTTTACCCCCGTTTCCCTACATCCACCTCTGTCTTTCTCTCTCGCTGCTCTACAAACATTTACTATTGCTCATGCTTAGGGTTAGGGGTTTGTTCACATCCATAACTTAAGTATTAACCTGCACATGACATAACTTTGTGTTTTGGACGTGAATGATACCTCAAATCATGCGACTTTATAATGAAATTTATAAGGACTATTACTTTTCCAAGTGGTCAGACTTGCGATTTTTGCCTGGTGGATGATAGATGACCAAAAAAATCTTAAAGACCAGAATCATAGAGACTTGAGGTTTGGCTCTTTTTACTTAAGCCATTGAGCATCCACCTAGCAAACCACCTAGAACACCTTAGCCACAATATAGCACCCTCTCATGACACCCTAGCATCACAGCGGTGAGTTTGCATCAATCACTTTTTTTTTTTTTTTCCCCAGATAATGTAAAAATGAGGTGACCATGATTTTATCAAGTACAACATGTTCCTGGATCAACATCCTTGTTGATACTGGAACAACATTCCAATTAACCAATCAGAATTGAGAGAGAACTTTTCAGGAAATATCTGTTTTAGGCTTACGATCAGGGTTCGGTGCTTCTACACCCTTGTTAATCAGCTAACATTTCACACTGATATTAGGACTAAATTATGGGTAGGTTTAGGTTTAGGGGTAGGGATTGGGTTTAGTCTATATTTTTGGACCGCAATGTTGATGCAGGATCAACAAAAGATGATGATCTTACGATCAGGGTTCGGTGCTTCTACACCCTTGTTAATCAGCTAACATTTCACACTGATATTAGGACTAAATTATGGGTAGGTTTAGGTTTAGGGGTAGGGATTGGGTTTAGTCTATATTTTTGGACCGCAATGTTGATCCAGGATCAACAAAAGATGTTGATCCAGGAACATGTCTTACTTGGCAAAATCAGGGCGACCATAAAAATGAAGTCTGTCAGTTTAACATCTTTATTGCAAATCCTTTTTAAAAATTAAAAAAAGGCTAACCCCCCCCAAAAAATATAATACCCTCTGACTTTGGCAATTTATGCACATTTTTATTATATTTTTTATTTATTTGTATCCTAATATCCTAACCGCAGACAGGTTGACGAACTCAAACTATTGGTAAATGATTTGCTGAGAACTGTAAGCCAGATAGGCCTTATCTACAGTGATATGGAGATAAAACAAACAGTATATTTAACAATATGTATTTATTATAAATATAATATAAATATAATTTATATTATACATATAATTTGGTCTTTGAATTATTTTAATTTGTGGAATTTTCTCATAAATGTTTTTTATTATTCTGTTTTTTGTAATAAATAATAATAATAATATTTTTTTTTAATTTTCAGTTTTTATTTAAATTTTAGTTTAAAGTTTTGTTTAGTTTAGTTTTTTAAATCTTTCTGTTTAGCTTATATATCGTTTTTAATATTTATTTTAAATTTTACTTAGTTATTTTATTTTAGTTAGTTGCCAAGGCAACATTTTCATTATTTTTCATCCAATATGTATATTTTGTTCTTTTTTTACATTTCTTTTTTTTTTACTTTATTTCAGCTTTATTTTAATAAAATATTTTATAATTTCAGTTATATTTTTAGTTAACTCTAACAGCACTAATCTTATCACTTTCATTGCATTTTTGGAATTTTTAATATCAGTAGTAAAAATCTAGTTTGCTTTTGTTCTGTTCTGTCTCTTTTTTTTTTTTTTACCTGTTTTTCTTTTCATTAGCCTTCACACCATCCATCCCTTCAACTCCTTCAATCGAGGTAGAGGAATGCTTGTGTTGAGTTCTCGCTCTCTTTTTTTTTCTAGCCTTTTCTCTCATGCTCTCTCTCTCTCTTTGTGGGTCAAGGATGAAAGGGCCCTTCATATTAAGAGCCTGTGATACAATCCTGTCACTCAGTCATCTCAAAGCCCCCCCAAACCTCAAACCCAGCTCCTCCCCTTTCACAGGAGCGAGAGGGGGCGGGGGGCCTGCAGCCGCATACCTGTGAAAGACCTTTTCCAAACATGCGTGGGACAATCTCAATGGATTTTGTTGTGCTCTGTACACGACGCCCTGTGAAAAGGTTATTTTAAGCTGCTATGCGTATACACTCACGTCCCGGTGAAACGACCCACACACATCGCTGTGTACACACACCCCTCCCCCTTCCCCGCCGCTGAAGAAACTCCTGTGAAGCCCCTTCAATACAAGCACAAACAGGGTCTTATTCAAACCCATCAACGGCTAGCTGGAGATACTGACCCTGGTATTGACTGATGGGGGAGAAAGCGAGGAGAAGCTGTAAAATTCATCATGGTTTACTGCGCCGGAGGCTGTCATGCCACGGTTCCTGCAGAGTCTGGAGGAGATGCCGATGTCTAAAACAGCTGGTGGCCCTCGGCTACACGAGCCCCGGATGAGGGTACTCGTTTGAGTTGCATCTCTGGGCTTTATATTCTGACAATATAGTCGGTGTGATGGGTGGCGGGGTTTCATTCACCAAGGTCTAATGAGAGCCACAACAGAGAGGGTTTGTGTGCTGGCGGGGGCCCTTTCTTCCTGTGGCGCACCAGTTGGACCTGACAGCTCTATTTCTACCGCGTTGATTGCGGTGAAGCCATAAACATCGCCTTAAACTGTTTGTTTAACCCAGTGTCACAGTACAAAATATAGGCCTGGTGATGGCGGGTCAAAAATCAAGTCACTTTATGTAGTGTTTCGCACAATACACGTTGTTCCAAATGTGTGTTCAAATGTTTAAAAAAAGCACTACTGAAAATCGTGCTGTTAATGTTTATAGCATCTTAATATCTTTACGCCTTATAGTTGCATTTAGCATGTTAGAGCTGGACGATTATATGCAGTAGTTTGCATTTTGCAATATAAACAATCAAGAAGTTTTGCTATATAGTACCTTACATAAGTATACTATATAAACAATCAAGCAGTTGTGATTTACTATATAATGTATATCGCTTTACGTGAGTGTACTGTATGCAGATAAAGGTGGATGTACTATATATAGCTTTAAATATGTTGCTGGGTGGTAATATGGTTCACATTTTGTGATTATATACGTGAACAACCAAGAAGTTGAGATTTAAGTAAGTGTGGGTAAAGTTGGATGTACACTGTAAAAATCCTGTCATGTTTACAGAAAAACACTGGCAGTTGTGGTTGCCAGAATAATTACAGTATGTAAAAATACAGCAAAAATTTGAACATATTTACAAAACAGCCTGTAAATTTTAGTTTAAGCCTATAATTTACATTAAAAAATATTACACTTTAAACTGATAAATCTAACAGTCCTTATCAAAACCCTAATATACATAACTAATAACAAAAACTAGTAAGAGCACAATTATTTAAACAAAATACCATCAAATGTGAGCTGTTTCACAGGGAATTCTGGGAATGTCAGGTTACAGTTTTTCACTGTAATTAAATGAAATGCAAGATTAGATCTATTAGTGTTTCACTGTATATAGGGATCCTGCATTAACCGATTAACAGTTTTTACTGTAGCATGTTTAGTTAAAATGACAATCTTTTTTTACAGTGCACTTATATATCCAACTTTGTATATAGAGCTGTACGATAATATAGTTTACATTTTGTGACGATCTGAGGAATTAAGCAGTTGAAATATGCTATATAGTAAATATAGCTTTACATGAGCATACTTTATGTATGTGGATAAAGGTGGATGTACAATTATCCACCTTTAAATATGTTGCTGGGCTATAATATAGATATGATATGTGATACAAACAATTACGCAGTTGATTTGCTATATAGTATATATCACTTGAATGGAATACAATGAGTAGCTTGTGTTATTCCATCTCTTAAGCATATGCGTGTCTTATTACCAATGCATTGCTGTTTGTCTGCTGTTTTCTCGTAGCCCCTGGAATTTTCTTTGCTTAGCCTTGCATTATGTGATGGAATGAGGGGGCGGAGTCAGCATTGTGTTACTGTTTGATTGACAGCTTTCTTCTCTTTTCTTTTTTCTGCCTCAGGGCCCGCTGAAGTTCCCATGATGTCACCGAACGGTTCCATTCCACCAATCCACGTTCCTCCTGGCTACGTCTCCCAGGTAACCGACAGGAATGGATCAGGGCCGTGCGTCTCTCGCACAATGAGGATGTGCTTTCACCCCTCATAGGCGAATATCCCTTTCTTGTAAACATGTTTACAAAGTGTGATTCTAGAATGCAGCAACCACACAAACAACAGATGAACATACACAAAATTCCAAGTTGTTCATTCTTACTAAACGGTGTCAGGCCAGAGTTTGCTAAAGGTCGGCGGCAGTGACATTTCAATAGAAAGGTCAAAAAACTCTTGCGGAGAGGACAGGAAAAAGGGTTTGAGTTGTGGGTGTAATAAATCAGTGGGTTGGTGGGTGGAGGGGGGGTTATAATGGTGCAAAGGTCACTCGTGTAAATATAATTCATTAGCGCATTCCACCTGAATGTGAAGGGCAGGACGAGCCCATGTTTGGTGGGATGCCCGTTTCTTTCTGTCTTTTAACTTTCCAACAAGATGGAAGCTTTTTAGCACAAGTGCATCTAAATGAAGTGATAATAATGCTCATGTATGTAATTGTTGCTCTGTTGCCTCGGAAAATGATGAGAAATGTCGTTGTATTGCACAAGCATGTGTCCTCAAAAATGGCTAAATTTATTTATTTTTTTTACGTTAACTCTGTACGTTTTCTTTACCTTTATGCAAAATGCTAAAAAAAAACAAAAACTAAAAATGTAAAAAACTAAATGTGCAATCAACATACAATAGCATTCAAAAATTTGGGTCAGTGAGATTTTTTTTTTAAATGCTGTTCGATGTCTCCTATACTCACCCTGATTTGATCAAAAATACAGTAAAAACACTAATATTGTGAAATTTTTTCAGGATTATTTGATGAATAGAAAGTTCAAAAGAACAGCATTTATATGAAATATAAACATTTTTAACATTATAAGTGTCTTTACTGTCACTTTTGATTAATTGAATACAAAAAACAAAACAAAAAACATAATGACCCCAAACTTTTAAACGGTATTTAAACACATTGCCTAATTAATATTAATGTGCCATGCCTTTTCCTTGTTACAATTTATGAGTTAATTACCTGTCTGGATATGCTTGAGTTGTATAGGATCGTTGTATAGTTTCACAGTGTCTTGACATTAGGATTTAAGACTTATTTTTAATGGTATTGAATAAATCCAGAAATTGAGTTTGTAGACCTCTGAGATTAATTAGTAAAATTAATACCTAATAAAAAAATACTACTACTTACTAAAATTAATATATTAACAATTTCACATCAACAGTTAGAAATAAAATGTATAAAATTATTTAAAAAATTTTTGTCAAAAAAGCAATTATTGGACATGCCGGAGTCTCCTGAAATCACTGTGATGTTCCATTTTTTGCTCAGTGTATATGTACATAATCTGTCTTTGCACATGCCAGAATACACAAACTCAAACATAAATGTGTGCTTGTATTCCCCACATGTCAGTATTTATCTCCAGACAATGGTTTCCCTCTGGCTTAAGGTGGGAAAGCTAATTTGTATTGGACATCATTTTGTAATTGTAAATGTTGATTGTCAAAATTTTGACACTTTGTCAAAATTTTGCATGCTGTTGATAAAGAATTGCTATAAAGTTTGCCAGAAAACACCACTAATCACTTCATCTTCAATCACTTAAACACACATTACATCAATTACAAACTAGAAAATATGAACTTCCCAGGGTGGCTTGAAGGTACATACTTTATAAGTTTTAATAGCTCACTGCTTGAAACAAGAACATACTGGTTTCCCTGCAGATCCAAACAGTTCTTTCCTCCAGTAAAAGCATTTTTGGTAACGAATGGTTTTCTGTTGTCGTCACTCACCTCACCTTCTAACTCTGGGTGATCCTAAAGTCAGCTGGATCAGCATGGGTTAGAAGTTGAGGTCAGTGAGTTGATTTTCAGTGAGCAGATCTGTGATTCCTGTAAGCATCTTCCATGCATACATTCCTCCAATGGAATGTACTTGATAGCCGTTCCATTAGAAAGACTTGTTTACTTTTGCATTCTTGCCCTTTGTTTAAAGTGGCACTGAATGTCTGTGGTTGCCTCGTAACTGCTGGCACGTTAGATCCGGAGACAGGCTGTGTTGTTTGTCAGGTGGGGCACTGATGGCTGACATCAGAGAGCCTGTGGGGTTGGGAATTGTTTGGCTTGACGTCTGTGGATGTTTGTATTTTCAGGTTCTAGAGGACAACACAGGCGTGAGGAGGGTTGTGGTCACACCTCATTCTGAATGTTACCCTCCGAGTTACTCTCCGGCTCTGTCCCCGAGCCACCACATTCACCCTCCGTATCTGACGCACCCACACTTTATTCCGGCCTCACATACGTCATACTACCCCCCAGTCAGCCCCGGTGACATGCCCCCGCACCAGTTCTATCAGCATCGACTGCCACCCATCTACCCGGAAGGTAAGCTTCATAGTCCACAGTAGACTAAAGATCCTGGTCTTTCTCACTTATTTAAACACACACTTCAGTGAGGATGGGCACCCAGCTCTTTATACTGAATCATAACACTGTCCTAACCAAGCACAACATGAAAGCGAAATACCACACAAAGCTATGAAAGCACAACCAACTCGAACATACATTTCAAGAGAAACGTAAGAACTTTTTTTCTCATTCTTAAATGATTGAAATCCTTTGTGTAGACTAATATAAATTTTATACTAAATAGGAAATAGAATAAATATTATTGTGTGTGTGTGTGTGTGTGTGTGTGTATTTTGTATATATAATCTATAAAAGTAATTTTGTGTTGTACTAGTAATTGTGTGCACATGACCAAAACACTGTTTTATATTATAGTTTAAGTTCATTAAAATTACATTTTAGTTTATTAAAGAAAAGTATGTTTATATATATATATACATGCATACATACATACATAGAGATATATATATCTATCTATGCATGTATGTGTGTGTATTTTGTATCAAATGTGCAATTTGCTTTTAGTTTTAATTTATTAAATTTTTTGTGGTCATGTATACTGTGCTGAACAAAATAACTTGTAGACTTGAATATAAATTGAATGTTGAATATACTGTAAAATGTTATTATTATTAAATATATTTTTATAATGTTATTTATATAAATGAAAGTTGATTTGTTTGACATTATTGTGGTCATATGTGTATACATTGCTTCACAAAATACAGTTTGTAGACAAATATACATTTTATACTAAATATAAAATAAATATTGTAATTATATAAAATATATGAATTGCTGTGTTGCTCTAAAATTAAATTCATATGTGTGCACAATGCACAAAATTAGTTCTGTTGACAAATAAAAGTTGTGTACTGAATATAAAAATATATTACAGTTTATATATTATAACATTTAAGGCTTTTATACTACACAAAATGTTAAATTGAAAATATAAGAGTTTTGATTTATTTAAAATTTTTCTGCTTATGTATACACAACGCTGCATAAAACACTGTTTTGTGGACTAGAATATAAATTGTATATTGAATATTGTAAACTGAATTTTAATATACAGAATAAGGTATATCAATAATTATGTTTTATATAAATATGTTGATTTGTTTAACATTTTTGGGCTCATGTGTATGCAACGCATTTACTTTCTACTTTCTGTAGTGTAATTATGATCTTTGTCTTATCTCAGAGATCATCCCGCTGTATAACGTCTCCACTTTCATGGGTCATGAGGAGTATTGTAAACCTCCACCCAAGAAGCTCAAACAGCCGGTGGAGCGTACAGCTCTAAGTCAAGTGACCAGCACGCTGTCCAGCAGCTACAAGAACACCACGGCCTGCACCACCACAGCTAACGGCTACGGCAAGAGCCACAGCAGCCCTGGAGGAGGAGGAGGAGGAAGCCCTGGCAACAAGAGGCCAGATCGAAGAGCCAGAGGAAGCCCCAAACACTCAGACACCGAGCCACAGGGTAAGATAAAAGTCTAATTTAAAACACATCTCATTTAAGAGACATCTTGCTGGTTTTGTTCTTATGTCTCTGTAGTGTTTTTGTACATGTGGCAACAGCTGAGAGCAAAAACAAAGGATATTTCCAGTGTCAGCTGGATTCAAATAAAAACAGGCAGAGCTGCTGACTCTGACAAGATGAGTCAACAATCTTGTCCACATCTGTTCACCTTAAAGCCTCATTTCCATGAAGCTTTATGGGTCCTTACCTCTAAGCCTTTGTTTTTGAGCTTTTATATCAGTGTCAGCACTTACTCTTGGTGTGACACACATACACACTGGATAAAGAGTAGATAGTGCAGGAAGCAGGTGTGAGTGTAGAAGAGTGCCCACTACTGGTGCAATGCAGTCAGTCGCTTGAATGAAATAGGCTGTGTATAGCATGCTAACAGTACTATTACTGCTGCTGTAGTGTATAGTTTGTGAAGGACAGTTCAAGGTCTGGGGTCAGTAAGATTTCCATTTCTATTAAATGCTGTTCTTTTGAACTCATCAGTGATTCATCAATGAATCCTGAAAAAAATATCACAGTTCCCTCAAAAATATTAAGAGGCATAACTGTTCCCAACATTGATAATAATAAGAATGTTACTTACTTCACCACCAAATCAGAATATTAGAATTATTTTATACACAGAACATCCTCATGATGGCCTACTTCGTTTTCTAAATGCTGTGTCCCACAATGCAATCCCCCGTTTCTGTTTATCAAAAAATATATAATTTTTCCTTATATTTAAAATTTCTTTCTTGGCTTATTTGATCAAACTGAAAGGTCATAACTTAATTAATTAATAATAATTAATAAAAATAACCATTTATTTCCAAGATGATAACTGGACGTGACTTGCATCTTTTTTTTTATTTATTTTTTTAATATTTTGACAAAACATTGAAATGTTTCTTATTTTTATTCAGTGTCATTTATTACAACAAAACTCTAAATGTTTATCTTTAACTGTTGTTTTAATAGATAAAGATGCTATAACAATTAATGTTTAGTCTTTAACTTTTTTTGACTGATTAAAAAAAGAATCCGTTTAAGGAGTCATTTGTACACGAATCGTACTATGCTGGTCATGTTTCATGTTTGTATGTCTTTTATTGTTTTATTTTGTGTTGCTCCGTCTTTCTCATTATCTTGACTGCAGACTGCAAGTCAAGCAGCATTTATTTCGCTGTAAGGAAGAATCAGTTCTTGATTACAACATTAGTATGCAGTATTTATTTAAAGTATATAATATAAAGTAAGCTTGAAGAATTCCACTTAGCCAAGGATTCTAATAAGGGAGGTAGCTGTTCTGGGATCAGATGGTGGATGAATGGGGAACACATGTCGCATGAGATGCAGTAGATTCCATAATTCTCTGTATCATAATTTCCTTTTCTTTCATCATTCCTTTGAAAACCGCTCGCTCTGTCTCGCTGTTTTCCTCTTTGTTCTTTAATGGCTTATCTTACCCTGGTCTTTGTTCTTGTGAACCTTTGGTTCCCATGCCTCTGTGTCTGAGAGAGAGTGTGCGTCTGTAATCTGTCTGTGGCGAAACCACAGCGCATAATGAGACCCAGATCTCTTCCTGTCTGAAGTGACAGCACAAGGCTGGTCCGTGTTAAAATGCACAGGGAAAAGACAAAGCAAATGAAATCAAGAGACGAGAAGACGAGCTGTTCCTGTGGAGAATATCTGAGAAGATGCTTAGATCTGGGTGAAATGCATGACGTCAGACGTTTAGATTTGGTCTTCAGTCTCCAGCGCTGTTCAGGACTTTGCTGTGGTTTGTCAAGCTACTCATAATTTAAACTAGTTAAAGTACAGTTAAGCTATCCTTTTGAAAAGTTACTAAGCTAGTTATACTACAGATCAAAAATTATGTTTTTATGGTTTTTGAAAGAAGTCTCTTATGCTCACCAAGGCTGCATTTATTTGATTAAAAAATACAGTAAAAACAGTAATATTGTGAAATATTTTTACAGTTTAAAATAACTGTTTTCTATTTTAATATATTTTAAATGTAATTTAATCCTGTGATGCAAAGCTGAATTTTCAGCATCATTACTCCAGTCTTCAGTGTCACGTGATCCTTCAGGAATCATTCTACTATGCTGCTTTAGAAATGTTTATTATTAATGTCAATGTTGAAAACAGTTGTACTGATTTTAGATTTTTCATGATCTTTTGGGCAATCATGCGCTTTTGGATCATTTGGTGCTTAAGAACAATTATTATCAACGTTGAAAACAGCAAAAAAAAAAAATCATGATTCTTTAATTAATCGAAAATTCAAAAGAATAGACTTTTTGAAATAAAAATATCAATATTTTTTTGCATTATAGATGTTTACTGTCACTTCTGATCAATTTAATGCATCCTTGCTAAATAAATTATTTGCTTTCTAAATTAAATAATTTAATTTTTTTACATTAAATGTCACCAATGAAACAGGACAACTGCATAATTGGTTGCTGTTAGCAGGAGTATCATTTAGCAAAAATATTTTAATACATATTAAGAAAATATTACAAATTAGAAGAAATAAAATTTTTTTTTTAAATAGAACATCAATTTTGAAATGGTTGAAATTATGAGAAAAAAGTTAGCAGAAATATTCTCAATTGCCTTTTTAACATGTGCATTACTATATTACAAAAGTTAGTGACATTCATCAGTTTTCTACTGAAATGTAGTTTGTAACCACTTTACTCCTTAAAACTGTTTTCCAACACTGTCGTGACTCCTTTGAATCCAATGAGTAATTCAAGACTCCTTTGAGTCCAATGAGTAATTCAAGACCACTTTGACCTGTGTTTAATCCATACATGGAGTGAAATCTCTCATTTTTCCACTCCTTTTCCCCCATCCTCTATTAAAATAAAGAATCCACTGAAAACATCCCCATCTCTAAATCTCAGCAACATCTTGTTGGGGGAAAACCATGGAGGTCAGTGTGGGGTCATGTTGCCATGACTTCATTGCAGTGATGACTCATTGCAGGAGCCAGACCTGTGAACCTCACTCCCCGACGGACACTTTCCGACCCTGCTCAGGCCCAATCTGATAGCCCCATCCATCAAGATGTCTCTATTGCCTCAGATCGGTGTCTCTGTCTCGTGATACTGAATTTATGCTCTTTGTATTTTTTTCTTTGCAAACAAGCATGAGGATGTTACAGACATACACACTCTCTGATTTATGACTGATAGGAGACGGATGGCTACATTTAATCTGTTTTCTGTGCAGATCACGATGTGGACACGAGACGAGTTCAGGCTGTGCCATCAGGAATGGACAAGCCGCAGGTGAGGGATTTTAAATCATGTCATCTCACAAATCTCCTTTCCTGCAGACAGTTCAGAAAATCAAAAACCGTCAATGTTGTCATTTCACACTGTTGCCAGTTATTGCTCCACTCTAAATATTCTATTGTTTGGAAAGCATTACATGACTATTTTAGAGATATAAACAAACCCCAAATGCTAAATATTAAACTTTTATGCATCGCACATTGCATATAGTTTGACTGACACCTCAAATCACGTGGCTTGTTGAGGAGAGTTATTCTTTCCTTTCTAAGCAGATGTGTGATTTTTCCATTGATAAAATGATAAAATTGTTTAGGGAAATCATATAAACGTGACTTGAGTCATATCTAGGGATCAGATTATCATGACCATGCATCCTTTTTTTCTGGACATGTCCTGGCTGGGATTTCTAAATTGCCTAAAATATCCAGGATTTGGCTTTGTTTTCCTATTGTTTTCATACTTGTGGAAGGTAATGACTGAAAAGTAGTTTGACCAATAGCTTGCAGGTATTATACATAATCGACCAATCTTGGCATGCCAGAAGTTGGGATCTACAGAGAACGGTGAAAGCAATGAAAATACTCATATAATATAGTGTAGTGTAGAGGACATGTGTCTGGGGAAAAAGCGGACGTATGGTCACGCTATCATAGATGACTTGGCAACCATCCAGAACAACCATGAAACCTTATAATAATGGGCTAAACCCACTCTGCACTCAGGAACCGCATAAGGACACCTGAAACATCAGGATTGTAATTGTTTAGAGATGGTCAGAATGAAGCATTTCCGTTTCCGTTCACTAGGGGGCAGCAGCTGTTAATGAATGACTTGATGGTTCAGTGATCCATTGATTGGTCACATCAATATGTTTTTTCATCTCTGCTACCAGTTTCATAATCTTCCACTCTTTCTGTGAGTGGGAACTCATGTTACATATTCATTCAAGGTTTAAAATGTGATATTAATATACAGGAGATCAAAAGTGCTGTTACATCTGATATAAGGTCTGACATCATTGGTTTGTAGATGCCACTTGGGTTAATGTTGTACAGTGCAGTTTCATTCATATATTTTAACCCTTTGTATTTGGGGTCCCGAAGAGCCCTCTTCTGTGTAAAGAGAATAGTCGTAATTGCCTTTATTTGTAATGTTCCTCTGACTTGATCAGATCCCAGCAAATACACTATTCAAGTTTTAACCCTCTGTTCTGTCACAAAGTAGGCACACACTGTTTCTTCAGTATAGTAATGTTGTTTCTGTTCAAGGTCAATTTGACCCCTGTGCGCACCGTAGAAAATACAATAAAGCAAACTGAAGTAAACAACTGACAGAAGTGTGCTACTACAATAAGTACAGCAGAGAATGTAATGTAAAAAATAAAATGTTTTATATTTGAGGTCTCTGAGACCCCAAATGTAAGTAATGTTTTTCATGGAGAATGTTTGAGGCATGTTATCAAGTTGGATTTGTTTTATAGTATATCTTTTTTAAGAGAATTAAATATTATATTATATTTTTGAGATTATATGATATATTTAATGCATTTACCATTTAAGTGGCTCTTTTTTGTGTTTGTTATCAAGATAAGTCTACCAGCTTTTTTTAGTGCTTCTTTCTGTTATTTCACCCTGGAAAACTAATTTATATTCTACACATGAAGCTGTTTCTGCTTCCCTGATTGGTGCTGTGGCATTACAGCTTCATAAATGAAGAATTTTTCGGTGTCTTTCATCATGAGCAGTTCCTTTAAAGGTGACATATCATGAAAATCTGACTTTTCCAGGTATTAAGTGCTATAATCAGGTCCCCCGTGCATCTACCAACCAAGGAAACGTGAAAAAGATTAACCCAGTAACTTTGTTTTGGGAAGCCTTTTTCTGCAATCGTCTGAAAAAACCAGCGCATCTGATTTCGCTCCCCTAGTGACGTGGCAAAGGGATCTCATTATAATATTACCGCACCTTTATCTGCACGTTTCCACTCACGGCGCCGTCATTTTGATTTCGTAAGCGACAACGGTGTACCAGTTCTAAAGCCATGGTGAAAGTTTGAGCAAAACATGCTAACTGTTCTGTCTTTGGCTGCACAGACGAGCACAGAACACTATTTAAATTCCCAGCCTCAGAGAAGACAAGAGAGCAGTGCATTTATTGATTTATTTACTGTATATTGCTGCTGCCACACAGATCTAAAATAAACATGTGATTTATTTCCCAGCTGTTTACCTTCACAGACATAACCGACTGTTTTTGTAACTCGTGTGTTTTAACGTAAACTTGTGTGTGAATGAGAACTTAGTTTAATACTCACATGCTGTGACAGCCGCTTTCTGTCCATGTGCACTCAGAAAACAGTATATCAGAATTTTTAATTAAAATGGTTTAAAACGCATGATTTCAGCGCGATAAACATGATAATCAGAACCAAAACAGATTTTTTTTAGCAGGTACAAGCTGTAAAGGCGCAGCTCTATTCTGGAAAAGGGGACGGGGAGCCGCAGCTCATTTGCATTTAAAGAGACAGGCACGAAAAACAGTGTGTTTCTGCTTCCACTCAAAATGGGCATTTTCAAAATGATATAATAAATGATCTGTGGAGTATTTTGAGCTGAAACTTTGAGCTGACACATTCTGGGGACACCAGAGACTTATATTACATCATGTAAAAAGGGGAATAATATGTCTTCTTTAACGTTTTACTGATGCAGGTGACGCTCCGATGTTTGTGAAGATACTCCTTATAGCGCTTGCTTTCATTATTTACTAATACAAAATTGCTTCGTTTGAATGGAAAACAGCAAGTATCGGATCAATAGTCTGGTTTGCCGTGGCTGAAGCCTCTTCAGACACAGATGTTATTGTTTTGTGAATGAGCAGTCGCTCTCTGCTTCGAGCAGCTGTGGAGGACGTCAGCTGCAGGGTGCTCTGACTGATGCTTGATTCACTCAACACGAGTCTGCCGTAGCCTTGGCACCCAAACAAAGTACTATTTACAGCTGCCTAGATTTATTGATGTACCAGACATCATAAATAATTCGAAATTGCAATTCTAATGGGCCTGCCTTTCAGTCGTTTCACTTTATTTTGGACTTTTAATCTTCTACCAGGCTCTTCTCTGAAAACTGTTTCAGGCTTTCAATCTTGTTGTACAGCCTTTTTATGCATGTAGAATAAAAATAAATATTCAGAGATGTTCAGCAATATTAAAAAATATATATATATTGTAATGCAGTAATGGAAATCCTGCAAAAATGTAAAAAAGTGAAATATAAAAAAAAAATTATCATGAAAATAATGTTGCAAAAAAAACACATAAGAATATTATTTAAAAATAAATTATGTAAAATAATAATTTAAATATGTTTTTTGTTTTCATAACTTTATTTATTTACTTTTAGATTTTGAGGTGAAATTTCAAGCAGTTATATTGTGAAATAAAATGTGAATCTGTCATTATTTTGGCCCTTCAGGTGTCTAATGTACAGTCCCGCTCCGCGCTTGTGTCTTGGACGTCTGTTTCTGTATCAGGATCATCTGGACGGGTCCCTTACTGTAGTTACGAGCTCCAGCTCAAGGACAAGGGCCGAGATGGGAAATACAAGGTTGTGTATAGGTAAGGGCTTCTGTCTTTACAAATAATTGTATTCATTAATGTGTTCTGAGTCACTAAAGCTCTTTGTTTTCAATCATTAGTATAGTTACATAACATTCTTCCCCATGCGGTTAGGAAATAATCCTCATGTATGTCTGCAGCTTTGCCTTTTTTTTTTTTTGGTTCCTGAAGCAAAGCTTATAGGCTATTATGAATTGATTGGAAAGCTGAAGGAGGTTTTAAAGAATCACTTCACCCATCTACTCCCACAAACAGACTTTCACTCTTAGTCTGTCTCTGTTTCAGTGGTGAGGAGCTCCAGTACACCCTCACTGACCTGAGACCAGCCACAGACTATCATGTCAGGTAAGAGTAGTGTTTCACATTTGCATTTATTCATTTAGTACACACTTTTAACCAAAGCGACTCACAAATGAGTAGGGTTGAGTATCGAAACCCATAACCCATAATAATGATGTTTTACTTCAGTGTACAGGATTTATTAATTTTTTTGTTAAAGGGTTAGTTCACCCAAAAATAAAAATTAGGCTGTGTTTCACTCACCCCCGATGCATCCTAGGTGTATATGACTTTCTTCTTTCAGACGAATCCAGTCGGAGTTATATTAAAAATGGTCTTTGATCTTTCAAGCTCTATCGTTGTACTCAGCGGGTGTTGCATTCCTTCTGTCCAAAAGACGTGAAATAAAAAGCACCCTTCCACAAAAAGTAAAACGCAGCCTAATTTTCATTTTTGGCTGAACTAACCCTTTAATTTGTTTTAAAAATCACATTTTAAATCGCAATTCACAAAAAACACACTGATGTGCCAAGCCATCAGAACCGAACAGAACAGAACCGTGGGCTAACTGTATTATTGCATCCCTGCAAACAATACCGACTACTTTGCTGTTATTAGTACTGTAACTGTTATTTTGTGTTAAATTATTGTAGTTGGGTTAGGTAGCTTAGGTTTTATTGTGAACTTATGTAAATTTGTTGTTTTGTAATTACTTATATATTTCCGTATACTTTAAACTTTTAATATATTGTTTAATTTAAAGTTGTTGGTTTTTTTCAGTAAAACACGGTTTAGGCATCAGTACCATTTTAAAAGTAGCGATTTGGCACCGGTATCATAAAAAACCCGAACGATACCCAAGCCTACAAATGAGCTGAAACACTCCATTAACTGACCACTTTGAATTTCATTTGAGTGCTGAGGAGAGAGGATCGACCTGATATCTGGTTACCGTGACTAAATTAAAGATGATGCATGCTAAAAATGGATTTGTACTTAAATATGGGAACTTTCTGGATCTAAACACTTATGTTAAATGGCACAATACTGGCACAGAGTGTTCTTCTGGTGGCTACAGCAGATACAGCATTGAAGTGCATTGTTATCGCTAAATGAATCATTTCAGATGGCAATAGGAGACATTCTGTATACTTTCTGGATTACTCTTGACCTCACCGTGTGTGTGTTTTACAGAGTAAGCACAGTGTGTAACTCTGTGAAAGGTCCCAGTTCGGATGCGAGGGCCTTCACTACCCACAGTGCCCCTCCTGATACCCCTCTACCGCCCAGACTGTCCCATCGCACCAAGAGCTCCCTCACATTACAGTGGAAGGTATGTATGACTGAATTGCATTGAATTCTGTACTATTGTGCAAAGTTTCTACTACCATTACAATTTTAAGTATCTTAGGGTTCCACTATATTACTTAATGGTGGAATAGTTTATGGTGATTTATTAATAATTAATGCAATTATTTATTGAACATTCCGTGTTGCATCATGCCAAGAAATTCTCCTTTACTGTTGTAAAATCACTGTTATGTATGACCTCCTGTCACTATACACGCATTATTTAATCAATTATTAACAATTTAAAAATTTTCTTTTTGCTTGACTTTGTGTCCTTGGATTTATGTGGATTTATATATTTTATATATATATATATATATATAAAAGTTTTAGGTCTGAGGGATTTTAAAAAAATAAATTACCTAATACTTTTCTTAAAGTGACAGTAAAGACATTTTTAATGTTACATTTTAAAATATATTTAAACAGAATAAAATAGCTGTTTTAAACAGTAATAATGTTTCAGAATATTACTGTTTTACTGTATTTGTGATCAAATAAATGCAGCATTGGTGAGAGTTCTTTCGAAAACTTACCAAAAAACGTTTAATTGGTAGTGTATATATGATTTTTTTTGTAATTTGTCATTTTTATTTCAGCCCCCTGCGGACAATGGATCAAAAATCACCAATTATGTTCTAGAATGGGATGAGGTATGTATCACCTCTGTAAATTAATTTGGTTATATCCTATGTGTGCCATCTACTCATAATATTTATTAGATTTTTCTTTCTCTCTCATTTCCTCTCCATTATTTGCATTCCTTTTATTTTTTGGGTTTGATGTTTTTTTCCCTGTCCCCATGGCACGAGATGTTGGTTCTGTGGCGACTGAGACTTTAACCGACTGTTCCGCTTTACGCCATAGTCTGTCTACTTTGGTTCTTTTTATTTACTCAAAGCTTTTCTGACTCATTAAGAGTTCATTAAACCTCCTCAACTGTGGCTGTGCCGCTCCAGAAGTGTCTGAAGATGCTGGCAGTGGTTCTTCCCCACAGAATCCATTCAGAATACCTCTGCATTTAACCTTAATTAAATTCTGGCTCCTGTTGTTGTGACGATTAGCACAGCTTCCAGCAGCAATTTTGTTCTTCTTGTTGTTCTTTTCATGTAAATAGTGTTCTGTTCTGACGCAGTGTGTGACTGCCGATGTCCTTTTTTGCATGTTAGAAGATGTTTATGTTGTTCTTGTCATCCTATTTGTCATTCCTGACTGCATCGTTTTATCGTTTCTTTTTCAGGGGAAGAAAAACAGCATTTTCCGTGAATATTATGTTGGACACCAGCGACACTGCAAAGTAATGAGGTTGTGCCCTGCTGTCGGGTACACGTTTCGAGTGGCAGCACTAAATGATATTGGCACCAGGTTTGTTTATTTGTCTGTCTCTTACAAAAAACACACATTTTAAAAATTTAAAATTAAATTATAACCAGTAATACCATATGTTGTTTTATTTTATTTTTAAAATTTAATTTAATTTAATTTTATTGTTTTATTTATAATTTCTTTTATTTAAACATTTTGTTTTAAGGTGACGTAGTTACACATTACATATAACAGTAAATTATGCATAATTACAAGCAACTAACCCTAAAACTAAAGCTTAACCTATAGCAAATACCTGTATTTAATTAATATTACTCAGTACTTATTTGTGTTATTACACTGTAACAGTGTCACCTTAAAAAGCATAACCTATTTTTATTTTCCTTAATTTAAATTTTTTTTTTTTTGAAGTACCTTGGATTGCCATCAAAATACCATTGCCATAGTACTTACTTTTAAAGGGATAGTTCACCCAAAAATGAAAATTCTGTCATTAATTACTCACCTTCATGTCGTTTCAAACCCGTAAGACCTTCGTTCATCTTCGTAACACAAATTAAGATATTTTTGATGGAATCTGAGAGCTGTCTGACCCTGCATAGACAGCAATACAACTGAAATGTTCCCAAATCCAGAAACGTAGCAAGGAGATCTGTAAAATAATCCATGTGACATTAGTGGTTCAACCGTAATTTTACAAAGCAACGAGAATAATTTTGTGCGCAAAAGAAAAAAAAAAACGACTTTATTCAACAATTCGTCTCCTCCGCATCACCCTGGTGCCATTTTGGAGAATATCAGCTGGACGTAAACAATATCTGTGTCAGCTGCGTCACGTCGGATCTGTTTCCTACGTTCCATACACTGGAGGAGACGAATTGTTGAATAAAGTCATTTTTTTTCTTTTGCGCACAAAAATTATTCTCGTAGCTTCGTAAAATTACGGTTGAACCCCTGATGTCACATGGATTATTTTACAGATCTCCTTGCTACGTCTCTGGACTTGGGAACATTTCAGTTGTATTGCTGTCTATGCAGGGTCAGACAGCTCTCAGATTCCATCAAAAATATCTTAATTTGTGTTACGAAGATGAACGAAGGTCTTACGGGTTTGAAACGACATGAGGGTCAGTAATTAATGACAGAATTTTCATTTTTGGGTGAACTAACCCTTTAAGGGGTATTTCTGAGGTGTAGGTAAAATATTGTTTTTTAAAATTGTTTTATGATTTACTGCAAAAAATCAATATTTGTAAATATAACCCAGCAGCCTATGTGTTCTTAGTTGTACGCAATTTAATAGAATTTTGGCCCTGTGGTGCCCTAGTGTTTAATGGCGCGGTAAATGAGAAAATTCTCCTCACTACTCACTGTGAGTGGCGGCAGTGCCATTCCACCGGGGGAGAAAGTCCAGAAAGTTTATAACCTTGTGCTTCTCACACGCTTTGATGATACACAGATATGTCGTATAATCTTTATAGGATGGGATTTATTACTGTACGAATATTTTTTTTTTTCTGCAGTGGATTCAGCACAGAAGTCGTCTTCAACACCACAGGAAGTCTCCCGCAGACGTCCTTACCTCCGCGGCTGGCACAGGCAGGTCCGTCCTGGGTTAGGTTGGAGTGGACGCGACCAAACAGCTGCAGCATTGAGGAGGTCGTCACTTACACCCTGGAGATGCAGGATGAGACCAAGGTGTTGAACTCACCCCTACTGCCCCCATCCCATAATCCCCTGATCCCTTGAGCAGTAGTTATTATGGCTTTCTGTTGTCATAACATCTACCAAAAATAGATATTCTCAGCGTTATACACTGGACATCATGTCTCTTAGCGTTTTTTTGTTTTTTTTCCTACCCTACTGGTTTCTAGTTAATTGCCCTTGCCCACAGTTGTCCGAGTAAATGGACTCTTCTGTATCCATGACTAATGCCTGTCGTGTTTCACACCTCGTGTTTGCGCCATCCAAATATTTTGAAGAGATTTCATCCACATTATTTTTCATCTTGCTCATTGCTGTTTATTTTTTATCATACACAGTAATTGTAGAATCTTGCCATTTTTAATAAATTAATAAACCACAAATCTGATAGGAAATATGCTTATTTTATCATCATATCATAATTATATTTAGATTTTATATTATATACATTATATGTGATTTTTTTTAATTATATTTGATATTTATTTTAATATATTTTACATAGCAGATTTTTATAATTATGCAATATATAATATTAATCATAAACTTATCCTACTTTAAATTCATGCAACAACATCCGCTTCCTATTTTGCCTCTGTAATGGGGCACATTTCTGAGTGAAACAGGATATTAATCAAGAAAAAAAACAGGACGCAACTTAATTTTGTCCAACAGCAAAAGGCATTGGCGACGTCATCCAACAAAAAACTTGTTTCAGAGACTCAACAAAAACTAATTCCAGCGCGAGTTTAGGGCAGGACTAGCTTTTGTCCGAACAATTGCACGTTATTAGTTTTGAATTTCGCTTGTGGCACACAACTGACACAATTCCTCACTTCTATCTGTTTGTCAGCCACATTGTAGTATTTTCAAGTGCAAGACAATGATTTAGACAGCCTTTAAAGGGGTCATATGATGCTGCTAAAAGGAACATTATTTTGTGTATTTGGTGTAATGAAATGTGTTTATGCGGTTTAAAGTTCAAAAAACACATTATTTACCACATACTGTACATTATTGTTTCTCCTCTATGCCCCGCCTTTCTGAAACGCGTCGATTTTTACAAACCTCATTGGTCTGAAAAGCGAGGTATGCTCTGATTGGCCAGCTATCCAGAGCGTTGTGATTGGCCGAATACCTCAAGCGTGAGACGCAAATGTTACGCCCCTCACATACTGTTGATGCCGTGTCCGGCCGGAGCGACGAGACATAAACATTAAAACCCATTACAAACGAGGCATTTGTTGCATCCAGTGGGGACATAATTACTGATTATAATGACTTATACTGTCTTTTTACGCATTGCGTTGCATTGCGCCGCGTAAACATAAAACCCTGTCTGCATTTGTGATCAGAGAAATGACAAACAACAAGTGCTAACGTTAATCCACACTGCCCAAAACCCGCGTTTGAATCATCAGTGGCAAATCCTTTAAATGAAAACGTACTTACGTGAGTCAGAACTGCCAGCATTTTAGTCTAACGTAACTCTCCCAGCATCAGTAAACAGTCCTCCATAAAATGTCCTGGCGATCCACAGCACTAAGTTGAAGTATTCCCTCAGCGACCAGCACAGATCAGCTCTAGGCATAACGAAGCGGATATCGTCCTCTTTTGGAACACAGCGTCTCCCTGACATGCTGCATCAACACTACTGCTGTTCCTGAAGCCACGCGTTCTTTCTTTGCGTGCACATTTGGGCGGTGTTATGCAAATCTTCCCACATTGTGATGTAGACATGTGGGGGCGTGTTAGAATGAGCCGTTTTAGGTAGGCGTGGTTAACTCTTAACTTTTATAAAGAATATCTCTTTGGATTTGAGACTTTAGTCTTTGCAACTTTACAGATCTTCTTTATGCACCAAGAGCTTGTAACACTCCAAAGAGAAAGGAAAAATTGAAATCGCATCATATGACCCCTTTAAAGCAAAACTGGGAATAATTGTTCCATACTTCACTTCCTGACACCTAATGGATGATGTGTTTTTGGCAGGGACTGGACTTTCAGGCAGTGTACAGCGGTTTGGAGCTGAACCGTAAGGTGGAGACCCTAAAAAGGAACACACAGTACAAATTCAGGGTGAGTGAAGCACAGATTCAGGATGTTAATGGCACGACAACCCAAAGCCAAAAAGGCTAAGGCTTTCATTTATTATATTTATGTATTATTTAGATTTATAGGTGCTGCTTCCTTTTGTTCTCATGCACAACTGTATACACAAACAAACCATCCATGCTAGTGTTTAACTAAGGCTCTAGAAAAGCACATGTTCCCCAAGCACCTTTCCTTCCTCATTTCCTTCTTTGCTAATAAGGCAATTAGTGATAATCTAATGAACTTCAGTTTCTCCGCTAACCTGGAGCTGTTTCTCAGATCCAGCAGTTGTTGCTGTTGTTGGGGGAAGGTGAATTGATTTCCCGTGGTGGTGTGTGTTAAAGGCTTTTAGTCTAATCTCTGAGAAGGCCGAGAACACTGTGTTAGCATTATCAGGGGAGAAAGACACTTCAGAGAGGATTTAAATGTCTCCCTCTGCGATGCTGCAGGTGATTGGGATGCAAAAGTAATGTTGTCTACTTCACAAAAGTGTGTCCTGAAGTCTTCAAACGTCACCTTGGTTATCTGCTTTTCATGGTGGTGTGGAGCAGCATTTATTTGAAATATAAATCTTTTGTAACAGTATACATTTCTTTACTGTCACATTTGTTTAATTTAATGTGTCTTTGCTGAATGAATTATTCATTTCTTTAAAAACAAATCTTACTGACCCCAAACTTTTGAACGGTAGTGTATATATAATTAAATATATGCATACTCTATACTGCGGAAGTAGTTGTATGGTAGTACGCTTCACCTTGTGTGGTCTTGTAACATCTCTCGTTAACTGTCGCCCCCTACAGCTCATCACATGTAGTGGTGAGTGGCGCAGTGCACCGAGCTCTTTGCTTGTGTGTAAGACGACCTCTGACAGACCCGGACCCCCTGTGAATCCTGCAGTAAACGCTGTCACGTATCACGGCTTCTGTGTGACATGGGGTAGGAAATTCGCCAAGTCAGCTTTTTATGAAAAGTGTATCATTATGTTTTAATAGTCACTGTTTTTCTTTTACAATTAATTCAGAACCTCCACAAGATGATGGTGGATCTGGAGACTTGACGTATGTCCTGGAGATATCAGAAGGGAATTTAGAAGGCATTTCTGAAGGTTTCATAATTTAATTCAAGTTTAACAGCATGAAAACCTCTCAAATATCTGCCTTTATTTGATGTCGATGTCACATTTCAAACCAAAAAGTAAATAAGTGGGTAAAAAAAGTACTTAGGACCATCGTTATTTTTTGTATTGTCACATACAAACAAAGATGATGTATGTATGATGTATAAAATAGTTTGTACTTTTTTTTTTTTTTTTACTTTTCTATTTTCTTTTGTAATATTTTCTTTTCTTTATGGTTATGCAAACTGAAGGGGGAAATGTGATTAATTATCATGAAAATAATGCATAAATTATCAAAATTTTGTAAGAATGTACACTGCCGTTGTTGTTGGGATTTTATGTTTTTTCTTATGCTCAGCAAGGCTGCTTTTATTTAATCAAAAACACAGTCAAAAGCAGCAAGATTGTGAAATATTATTACAGTTTAAAATAACAATTTTTATTTGAATGTTTCAAAATGTAATTTATTCCTGTGATGCAAAGCTGAATTTTCAGCATCATTACTCCAGTCTTTAGTGTCACATGATCCTTCAGAAGTCATTCTGATGTGCTGATTTGCTGCTCAAGAAACTTTTATTATTATTATTATTAATTTTAAAAACCGTTGTGCTGCTTAATATTTTGTGGAAACAATGATAGAAAGCCAAAAGAACAGCATTTATTTGAATTAGGATTTTTTTGTGACAATGTAAAAGTCTTTACTGTCACTTTTGATTTAATGCATCCTTGTTAAAAGTATTGATTTCTTTCAAAATTAAAAAAAATTACTGACCGCACACTTTTGAACATATAGTCATTTTCTTTCAACGGTATAGTTTCTATTTTTTTTCTTTTGATTTTGCTGTGAAATATGGCTCTGCTGTGTTCCTGACAGATTCAGTGAGATAGATATTTAATTCATCTGTGTCTGTGTTCAGAGAGTCAGTGGATGACACTCTATAGAGGACCAGAGAGGAAACATCTGTGTGAGGATCTAAAACCAGCAACAAGCTACTTCCTGAGACTCAGCTGTGTGAATGTGGGCGGACAAAGCCTGGTATAAGAACACTTACTGATTCCCAAGCTGATTCATGTAATAAAGTCTCAGTGCACTTATTGTGTTGTATGTTGACTGTTGATGTGTTGGTTTTTCAGTGCTCAGATGACTTGACGGTTCGCACTCGTATCCCGCCCCCTGGCCGCTGTCAACCCCCAAGTATCGTGGGTGATGTCAAACACAAGGAGATGACTTTGCAGTGGGGTGAGTGGGCTGTTTTTTTTATTTTGATATCTTTTTATTCTCTTTTCCCTTTTTGAGTCTCAAAGGAATAAACTGATTTTCTAAAAATAACTTTGCATTTGTGGCACAAGAGCTTTTTTTCCTTATAGACTGACATATGTGTGACCCTATTCAACAAATCACTCGATTCATTTGAAAAGACGTGGAATTGCAGTTAAAAACAAGCTGAAGGACACTCATCTGCTTTTAGACTAATCATGTTTGCTGCCAGGTCAACAGGTGAAGTATTCAGAGGATTTATAATTATGGAACTCCATGGAAAGTCCAATTTACCCAGAATGCACCTGGACCAACTGAACGTTTTGCACCTACTTTTTTGTGCTGTTCATGCATTACATCACCCTATTTAGTGTATGGGTTTGTGTATGCATCTGTGTGTTTGAGGGAGCCAGAGATAAAATGCACTTGTTTGTTAGTGATTATACTCCTGACTCACTGTTTTTGAGTGAAGGTGGGCTCATTTAAGAGGCTGAACGCTGTCTATAAATAACTGTGAAATAGCAGTGCTGATTTCAGCCATCCACGCTGACTCTCAGAGCTCCGCGCCGCTCGGACAGCAGGCGTGAGCTTCCCTGCATGTTCTCCATCACTGCAATTGATCGGTTCCTTCCTGTAGCTAGTTGCCACAGGGTTGTAGAGGGAACCGAGAATGTGTTTTGGTTTTGAGAGGTTGGTGGCAGATGGATTCGAATAATGCAAATTATTCCAAAAAATTTAAAAAAATGTAAAAAAATGATTATGAGTCATTTATAATTAATAATATAATTTAATTATAATATAATGTAATAATTATCACAATGTACAATTTTAGTAATTAATCATAATAATAATTCATAAAATTATAATTATCCTCTTGCTAACACCTCCTAGATCACAATTTTTGAATGAATAATAATAATAATAATTATTATTATTATTATATTTTTTGTGGTATACACTTAATGATAGTTCATAAAAGGCCTCTTGCCAACTCACCTCCCTATGGAAGCTTGTTTCTCACAATTTGGACTTTTCTTCTCAGAATTGCAAGCTAATATCTTATAATTCCAAGTTTATATCTCACAAATTCACAATAGTAAAAAAAAAAAATCTGAAATATGAGATAAGAATTCGCAATTACGTTTCATTTTTTATTCTGTGGTGGAAACAAGAACCAGAACTGCAGATGTAAACTCAGAATTCAGAGGAGAAAAAAACAGTCAAAATTGCCACTCACTGTGATCATGTATATTGGACTGCAGTGATGGATTATGCTTGGACTTTTCCACTTTTAAATGATTGCTTATTGTTCTGTCTCTGTCTTTGTTTCTCCCATATACCCATTATTCTCCAGATGGTCCTTTGTGTGGTGAAGAGAGTGAAAATGTGGAGTTTAGCTTGGAAATGTGTGCAATGGAGGAGGGTTTGGAGCCAATGGAGGTGTACTGTGGATCCAAAACAGAGTGCACTGTGGGTAATTTGCTCCCTGGCACCACCTACAGGTTCCAAGTTTGTGCAGCCAACAGTGCTGGGGTAAGTCATCCTGCATGCATGATCCAGCTATTTATGAATGATCTGGCTCTTTAATAAATGAAACACCGAACAAACTACTTAAAATCTGATTAATTAAAAAAAAGTTTTAATAGAATTTCAAACCATATGAATGTGCTTTGGATTGCATTGTAAACATAATTGTATTACATATTACATCACCATCGTAATACATCATAATGTCTTGTTTTTGATTTGTTTAGTTTTTTCCTGTTCATACTACAACAAACTATGTGGCAAATCAGTGTTATTATCATTAACTAAAGCTGTTAAAATTGTTAATTGAAAATAAAATATTAAATTGAAATGTAAAACTTAAGCTTAAAAACTTGAAAAAAAAATGTAAATGTGTACTTGGCAACTAACTGAAATAAAATAAGTTTGTTGAAGCACTAAATTACTAAAACTAAAAGTAAAACAAAAAATTATGGAAATATAAAAATAAAAAAAATGAAAAATGACAAAATCATGTAACAAAATTACTAAAACTTAAACTAAAATTAAAATGAAAACTAAAACTAAAAATAAAAGCTATTTAAAAATATTAATAAGTACTATAATAGTATATAGATAAGTTAGATTTACAAAAAGTAGAATTTTTGCTTTTGAAAGAATGCAAAATACATTTTGTTTCATTTCCCTTGGGAAATATTTTTGGCTGTGATTTTATTTATTTATTTATTTTTGGAAAAGAATCCAGTATACTAATCCAAAATATTCAGTCCATTCAAGTGGTTTTAATTCACCAATTAATGTTTTTCTTCCCAAGTGCCACAATATAAATGGTATATATTTTAGTGAAGGGAACTAGGCTAATATTTTAGACATTTTGGCTTTTATTCCCTTTCATAAGCAGTGCATCAGAACAATTGCCTCTCAAACAGCTATAATTTTGTCCCCCTCACTCCAGCTGTTTTTCCTTTCTTACATGACATCCATGTTTTATAACAAACCCTCTACGTTGCCTCAGGCCAATAAAGAGATCTGCTGTCTGCCTCGGCAAGGATATTAAGAAGCTAATTCAGCCATCACTGGAGATGGATGCCTAACACAGTGTAGCACTTTGGGTTTACCTGCCACAGAAATAACAGATCTCCCTCCTTATGGTCGAACCCAGGCCATTCATTACCTTTGAGACAGCTTAAAAAGTCCTAAATCTCAGCCGTTTCTCTCGCTTTTTTTTCCCCCCAGTATGGACCATACTCTGAATCTGTGGAAATAAGCACTGCTGCCGGCCCCCCAGGACAATGTAGTCCACCTGCCATCAATGTGACGTCACACACCTGTGCTGATGTGACCTGGGAGGTGAGTCAGCGAGAGGCATTCGCACAGTATACATGCAGTAAATGATGAATCTCTGTTATCTGATGAAATTGTCAGAGTGATTTTCTGCTGCATTGGGAGAGTAATCAATTTTCAGAAGCAAAGATTGGCTTTGGGACTCGTAGAAAGACAAAAGTACTTGAATAGACCCTCGACACGGCTACAGAAACTCCATCCAAACAGTACCATCGAAAATACAGCATATTTCCTTCATCGATCATTCAGAAAATGCCAAAGATTGATTCTCTGCAGTGAAGGTGGCAGATTGTGTCCTTTCTTCACCAATTGCGCTTTCAGTCCCTTCTTCTCAAAAGACTAGTGACAAAGAGCCTCCTGTGTTTCGTTCACAATGAAAATTAATGTGATTTGAATCCTTGATGTCTCCCGAATGTCAAATATCAGAAAGATTTTAATGATTTGCATTCTGTTTGCTATCTTGAGAGGCTGTTTCATATATTAGCAGTGCATATGATGCATTAGCTCTCTTGTGTTTGTCCTGGTGAAACAGTGTCAGGCAGGTAATTAGTCACGTACTGCTGGGAATATGCGTTTGTTGCTCTAGTTTCCTGGAGCGTAACGCTTGCTCTGATCTCAATCCCCAGAACAAAGTGAGCTCTGGGATAGACATTTCCGAGTACCGGCTGGACTGGGGATGTGATTTGGACTCTCTTGAACTGGTCTACAGTGGAACGGAAACCTGCTTCCAAATCTTCAACCTGGAGGCATCAACAGACTACTGCTGCAGGCTACAGGTAATTCATGATGTGTCCAACATGACACATTTTCTGTTAGGACCATGAGACATTGCTCAGATATCCAGTTGTTATAAATGAAAACAAGCTGAGAAGCAATTTTTTTTTTCCACAAATTTACCATTTACCAAGAAAAAAGCCTAGTTCATTTTAGTTATCTGACGTTTTATTTTATTTTTATTATTTATAGATGTATTTATTGGTTGTTGTTTTTTTTTGTTTAATTATCATCCACTTTGAGATATTTAATGCTATGAAACAGGGCTGTTAAATAAGCTTTGTCTTGTAGCTATAATGTAGTGGTTGACTGTTTTTAATATGTTAATTTAAATTAATTGGTCATACTGATTTTTAAGGATTATAATAAAATAATTGCAATGTGTTCATTTTTATGTATTATATGTTATGTGTGTTAATATGTGCAATTTTCACAAAATTGCTGAATTGAAATAAATTGCAGAATTATTTAATTTAAAGAACATTTTAAAGAACATTTAATTTATTTTCCCCCCAAAGTTCATTTTTCTATTTTCAAAAAAATTAAAAATAAAAAAGCCAGTAAGTTATATATAAACAATATTTTATATTATATAATAACAACATTTTAGTTTTTGATTAATCAATATACAAATAGTAAAAATGAGTTATGAATAAATCATCTTTCTAATTTCCAAGTCAAGGAAACACATTATTCTAATAGTTCCTGAAAGTAATTTAGCTCATATAATTGCTTTGAGCATAATCGCATTGAAATGCATGCATTACTGGCAGCTTGCATTTTAATTAAACAAACAAGAAGAGTGTAAAACCTTAATCACACAGTGTCAACACTTGTTTGTGTTTACAATTAATTTATAAGAATAAAGTATTAAGGGAAACACCGCCTACATGCATTAGTGTGTGCATTATCATTGTCTCTTTGCGAACTGGTTTTAATGCACCAAAAATAAACCTGCACATTGTGCTGATTAGACATTATAAGCAGTTATAGAGTTCAAATGTTAGACTGTAGCAGAGTAATCTCTGGAAACGTTCTGACCTTTAGGAGCTCCTCTTCACATTTAATTGGCTTTGATTCACTGTCTGTTATGAACTAATGGCAAAACAATCTATCAGCACCAGAATGAAGAGAAGTAATTTCTCGTTGTACTCTCCAAAATGCTGTTGACACACTAAAAGCATGATATATATATATATATATATATATATAAATATATATATAT